AGAAACAGATCCTTAGTTCAGTTTGAAATTTAAAGTATGACATTCCTGGACTGTAACTTGCCTGATTTAGAAAAGAGCTGCTAACAATAATTTGCTCTGACTGTGCTCAACAGATGGGTCTGGTTGTTGATTTGGGATGCATTGATTTAATGTGTTAAATAGTGCTTTACATTCTGAAGTCAATTAGAAGTGTGAAAACACTTTTAAACACTCAAGGGTTCTATGTATTTAAAGAAATAAATACATAGTTTCTAAAAACAAGAACTGAAACAAAAAAAAGCTATCGCAGCAATCTAGAGATTTTTTAAAAATAATTTAGGTTTAATTTTAAGGGAATCATCACATTACACATTTGAATGACTGAAAAATATGTTTTATAACTCAGGGAAGAGATTATGAGAAAATGCTGTGGAAAATAATTTTAAGACCCGGGAGAGAAATGGGTCAAACAAACCAAAGTTTGGCAGATTGTGATAAGAACAAACATGGCCAATCAAGATATGGTGAAAGCACGTAAAAAAAAAAAATCTAATTTCTTATACAAAACTCATTGTCCAGCAGCCATGCTTGAGAGCTAAAAATCTTTCTAAAGAAAGTCTAATATCATGTTTTTTGATGCTGCTTCATTCATAAGTAAGATTCATAGGAGTAAAATTTGACAGGGTTTGCACAGCTGGTACTGTTTTATGTTGTAGTCAAAATAATCCACATGCACAGTTGCACATCTGTGCATGCACGCTGTTTTGCTAATGAAACAAAATATCGTTATTATTATTAGTCTTACTCTGTGAATAACGTAAGAGCCCAAAAGGACCATTAAATTCTTAGCAAACCTCCAGTTGAAGCAAATACATTTGATGTAAAGTGCAGCAAGTTATAAAGAAATGTGATTGCAGAGATGCTGCCTTTTTAATAACATGTTTAAACACAAAACTACACATTTCTAGCTCCAATAAAGTCAGACTTTTTGCCAAGTTCTGATGGTCAATCCCAGATGCTAATGAAAGAAAAACCAACTTCCTAAAGTGAAGAAAAAGTTAGGTATTTTCATCGTACAACCTTCATGCTTCAGTTCTTCTTTGTCATTCATCTGAGCTTATAAGGTTATTAGCTTGCTGCACAGGAGGCTGCAGCTCTCATCCTTTCTGTCAGAGCAAACGCTTTTCACCACAGAGGGCTTTTCAATTGATCCACTCACAAACTGATTTAATTAAGCCCTTGTTGCACTCGGGCATGGCCCCACATAATCAGCTCTATATTGTCAGAGCCATTCAGAGAAATGGCATCCGCTGCTATGAAACTGAGATGTCATGCCAAAATGGAAAGGAAATTTTGACAGTTCCTCCTCCGCAATTATTTTTCATTTCACCAGAGATCCAGACCTGTGCTCCAGCAAAAGCTCCTGCTTTTCAGCAAACTTAACATAATCACATGACTGTAGATCACGTTGCACAGTTGAACTCAAGAATCAGGTAAAGTCAGGCAGCTGCATGCGGTTCTGTGATATAGGGACCGACATGTAGGAACCCAACCCCTTTATGGATTTTATAATTTCATCTGTATCAGTAAATCATTGCAAAATCTCCTAAATATGTTTCTCAAAGGGCATGCGGAAAAGCACTTGAAAAATATGGATGGTGAATAGGAAAAAAAGCTCTTCCAGTATAAGTTTTTGCACATTTGTAATAGACATTAAGACAAGCAAGCTAAATGTAAAGGTAACCTTTTAAAGATTGTGACTGTCTTAAAATGTACATTCTTCCTATGAGGATTTATTATGTTTCTTTATATTTATCTTCTGGTACTGGTTCAGTGTTTTAACAGCTGAATTTCGGATTTTCATTCACTGCAAGCCATTATCATCAAAATAAAAAATACCCGAGCTGAAGTTAGAAATGCATTGCTTCTTCATAAATGGAGATAATTCTTCTATTATATGTGGGTGTGTCTGTGATGGACTGGTATCTGTCTCGGGTAACCCCGCCTCTCCTCGCCTGTTGGCTGCTGGACATGGGCACCAGCACCCTTCACCACCACATTAGGGATAAGAGTGTATGATAATGGATGAGTTTGTCATTGTGTTAAAATCCAAATCAATTTTGCTCTTATGATTTTAGATGTGGAGGCGATAGTGACTCATGCATATGCTTTTAGAAAACAGTTGCTACTTATTTTATTGATCCTCAAGATCCTAAAAAGCAATAGAAACTTTATAGAATTACACAAAAAAGGATTCAGTCATTATTTAAGTGATTCGTGTTAAGACATACAGTGTTTCTAATTAACAGCTCATTTAATCAAGAAATCTAGTTTAGTGTAATGGGGTTTTTTTTGTTTTGTTTTTTCTGTATCCTTCTGCTCTGTTACATTCCCAGAGAAAACATTACACTTTCTGTTCCGCCACATTTACTCGACAGATTTACTCCCAGCTTACTTTTAAGTCGAAGGTTTTGCATTATGGCTTATATAACCATCCTTGTAAATCCAACAACATGTCGATGTTTAACCAGTCAGTTCAAATTTTGTGCAAAGTTCGGTCTTTGCCTCTCTGAAATGAGTCGGCGTTGGTCTTACTCAGCCCAAACCCATTTTTAAATTCCCAGATATCCTTCTGTTCAGTCTTCCCTCTCATTAACATAGTTTGATTTTTAAAGTCCAGCTTTCTGACTTTTCTTCAAAACAGATTATGTGGTCTTGGCTTCACTCTAGATGGCTGTGAGTTGTTTGATCAAAGCTCTACCAGTTTGGGATATTCTTGTTCATTCTCTCCCTTTTCATTAAGTGTTCAAATGATCTAATAGTCCAGGCAAAATCAAAGACCAGAGAAGCAGGTCTGGGAATAAAAATTTAATTATTTCTCTGCAAATAATAATAAAAAAACTGTTCAATAAAAAATTATTCAGACAAGATTTACCTCCATCAGATTCAGCTGCTTAAACTTTTTTTTCTATTTAATACTTTTACCTAGAAGTACTAGTTTATCTATAAGTTACTAGTTGACATTATGCAGAGCATTTTTACAATGTTTTTTTTTTTTTTGTTGAAGGAAATCTTTTTATTTCATCAAAGAAAAACCTGTGAAAAACTTGCAAGGGAAATTTTCTGCAGAACATTCAAACTAAAGAATTCACTTTTAGCTTGACGAAGACCCTGGTAATCATTTTTCCACTCTGATTGCTGCTTATTAAAGTGTGCGTATTTACAAGATCATGTTATTTTTTTTTTCTTTTACTTCAAGCACAAAGTAATCTGTAATCTTTTTTGCCTGACATATCTGGCTAAAATGAAAATGCAGCAAAACAAAAAAGGCGCAGACAAACTGACAGTTAGCTGGTCAGATAAGATTTGGAGGAAAAAAAAGCAAAGTGCAGAGAGCCTTAATATTTCACACCTAATGCATTATTTACACCCAGGGTGAAGTGGCAGAATATGCAAGGGCGCTCTTGGGTGAATGGTGAGTTTCTCAATTCTGTGCCACATGTGAGAATCTGCGAGGATTTTCTGTCTGATCGGCGGAGCAACGGATGAAAGACAAAGATGAAAGCAGCAGCCTGGAGGGCCTAACTGCAAGATCCATCTGCTAGTGGTGTAAAGCTCTGAAGTTTTTCTTGCTCTCAGGTAATCTCTTTGGGTGGTCAGATCACAAATGTACAGTCGGCGTGTGTGTGCTAGGGGAAAAGTCTCAGAAAGGAGGGGAAGATGCAAATGAGAAGGCAAACCTTGTCCAATGAAGCCAGGAAGGAATAACTTTTGACAGGACAGAATGAGAATTGGGTTCCATCAAACAAAAACATCTTGTCTTGTTGTCTTTCTGAGCGTTTGCCAGATAAAAAAAAAAAAAAAAAACTTCATCAGCCTCTCCCAAGTAAATCAGAACTACATGTCCAAATCTGAATATTGTTTTCATTTTTTTTTTAATTTGAATATCCTGCATTGTATTTTATATTTCAAAATGTATAAATGGATATTATATCATTTGTTTCTTTATATTTATCTTCTGGTACTGGTTCAGTGCTGAGGATTACAACTAAATAAGAGCTGGGAGAAAATATGCAGAAGGCTTTTACTGCAAGCCATTAAGTACGTAGAAATTGAGAATTTTAATGACTTATAAAGGTCGATTTCAGACGTAGTAGCTCTTGGTGGAGAACCAGCCTGAAAAAAAGTACAAAAACTAACTAAACTGTACATTCATTTGCCATTCCAAAAATTTTGAACTTGTTTTAGTCTTCCGAAATCACGAGGTCTGGTGAAAAATACTTCGATACTTGTGTTAGTTGGGTCTTGAAGTAATCTTGCTGCAGTGTGCACCAAGCGAATTTTCCCAAACTCTTGAAAAAACTTTGTCACACAATCTTCTCAAGGCTGCTATACTCTGTTGCATGCACTCGTTTTTTTTATTTTTTTTTATTATTACCACATTTTTCCTTCCACTCAACTTTCCGTTACCATGCTCTACGACTGGCCAGCTTCTTTAGCAATGACATTTTGTTGCTTACTCTCCTTATGCAGGGTGTGTCTGCATGATGACTGTGACTGTAACAGTCTCTGAGGTTGTTAGCTATAACACAGAGAGCACGTTACCTTCACATTTCTATTTTACTGATTAGAATAATTACATTTTTGATTTAACATACATTATTCAGATCAACAGTGGTGAATATGTATAAGAAAGAAACTATTTAACTTTTCTAAAATATTTTCATGTGATGAGATGTTCCTGTACTTTTGCGCTTTCCACAAGCCACCTGTTAGCTTTAAACCCACTCACCGCACTCTGTCTGAACTGCATCCAGCAGTTCCGTATCCGCCCGGGTCGATTGCCTTTCTGCGTCCATGCATTACCCTCCTACCCCTGCGCCTTCATCTGTGCGCTCCAGCTGTGAGAGGGGCCGGCAGAGGCCGGCAGATCCCGCCTCCTCTGCTGCGATTGGCCCGACGGGAGGCAACAGTGGGGATTTGCTGGCTTGTGTTTCACATCTTTGCAGCGGCTGAGCGCAGCGTGGCTCTCCGGCTGCACAGCGTGGGCTCTCTCTGAATCACACAGTCGGATGAGTTTCATTGAGGCCGCCGAACGCATTTGGAGCATTCTGTCCATGCAGCAGAGAGCGGAGAGCGCGGAGACGAGCTGAGCTGCGCGTTTGGACACATTCACCCCGGGCGCGGCGTCCGCCCAATCCACCTGCCCGCGCGCAGGAAGCCCGTGGAGGGATGTCGCGATGTTGTGCACAAGGAGAACTAAAACTTTGGTGTCGACGTGCGTGATCCTGAGCGGCATGACCAATATCGTGTGCCTGCTGTACGTCGGCTGGATCACCAACTACGTGGCCAACACCGGCGGCAAAGTTGCGGAGATCGGCGGCGGCGGGGAGACGGACAGAAAGTTGGAGGAGGACGGCAAAGGAGAAACGCTGAGGATTATGGAGCGCTTGGCGCGTCTGGAGAGCGTCGTGAACGAGCACATTAAAGGTCGGTGACGTTCCGCTGGGGGTCAGGAGCAGCTCTGGTACAGATGGAGGCGTTTCAAAGAGGCCAGCAGTTTCATCCACATGAAACTTTGGGCTGTTCTCGCTTCTTAAGGGAAACTTTGCTGTTTCTCTCCATCTTCTGCTATAGAGCTACTTATGTTAATTTTTCCGCGCTTTTAATATGAAGCCGGTTAAATGTCAACAGTCACTCTGGCATCTGTTGTCAGTCGCATCATATGAACACCCTCATATCACTTCATTTATGAAGACTGAGTGAAGTGGTTTTTTTTAAGAGGCTGCAGCAGAACTGTCCCAACAAAACCCAGATACCCCTAAAAGTGTTTCATATTAATGTGAGTTAATGATCCCCCTCAGACATTTTTAAAAGGATGCATCCAATTACCCTTTCTCCCCCTCTTCTGAAAAATCCAGCCAATGATTGTATGAAGAACTGAATCTGAAAAAAGTCAAATTTGTCCAAAAATGATGCTTTAAATTAAAACGTTACCTGCTTGGAGAAACTTTGCCCCTCGGTCGACTGAAGTGGAAATCAGCTAGATGAATTAACTCGGTTTTGCATTTCCATCTGAAGGCAAGAAAGTATAAGGTGGTCTTGCATGATATTTGGAATGATGGGGAAAAATCTTTCCAGCTGAGACACCACATTAGTCAGGAGAAACATTACAACCACTGAAAGAATGGCTGCAAACATACTTGAACCTATAAACTTCACTATTTTCAGCACCAAATCTCACTCATAACTTATTTCAACTGTATATTGTTTTCTGAAAATGTTGTGCGACATACTTTATTCTGGTTATGTTGCATTTGGTCCACACCAAGGTGTTGTTAAACATGGCATATTACCCCTAGACACGCCAAACTAACTCAAAGCAAATACAGTCTGGTATTTATTATTTATTGGAGACTCACATTTTTTTACCTGTAGATTATGACTAGAAGGAGGAACATTACTTGTTCAAGCGACTTGATCCTGGAAAGGTTGATGGTGGCAGATCATCACCAGCTGTTTTTTCTTTTGACTCGGGGTGAAAACTCAATATGTAGAATTGCACAAAATATTGAATTTAAGTTGTCATCACTGTGCATGCAATACAGCAAAGGATGAGTTGGATTCAACATTTGGTAGAATGCTACACTTTGTAGTAACAGATAATCAGGCAATCACACTGTGCATTTTAATATTATATTTTGCCAGTTGGACCATCTCCTGTTGCTCTGGTTTTTAGCTGCTGTAGCTCACAGAGTGGTGGAACATTGTGTAATGATAAAGTGTTAGGAACATTTGTGTGGGAATTTTTAGCAGCAGTTTCACAATTAAACAGTTCCTTAAAATTTTGCAGCCTTCGTTACAGAATTTTTCATGTCTATTTTTTCTTTAAAAAATTGTCTTTTCTTTTTTGACAACTTGCATTTTGTATTTGCCTGTGTAGCTCTAGTCAGTCATTTTCTCTTTAGTACAGTGTGTTGGCTGCGTTTCTTGCTCTTGCTCTATCTCCCAGTGACACTTATACTGTACGTGTTGTTAATCATAAACTGTTCAGTTTCTCCTCTTGGACAATCCTGAGCTCTGGCTTCACTGAGATTGGAAAATCAACCGGGGTAAATTAACATCTTCTCTCGCATTGCACGTAAAACTACATCTCATCTCCCACCACTAAAACACTTTTTGTAGCTGTTTGTTAGGAAAACACATTTTGAATTCAGAACTAAATTTTGGCTGTGTCCTGTTTGAGACTGCATTTACAGTGACCTGTTGTTGTGTTAATTCTGCTGCACTTTGACCTTTAGAGCATCAAAACTGCCTGAAGAATCAAATCCATTGGTTAGTGTCCTACTTTGAAGGACTATTTGTGATTGCATCCCTGGCCCATTTGCAGCAGTCTCTGACCAATTCCTTATCTAAATTCAGAAATCAGACTAGGTCAGTTCAGTTGTCAAGCAGAATAGCTTTCTGGGACCAAAAACAAGAGATCAAACTGGTTTGTTTACTGTTGTCAGAAAATGATACTGCACACTGCTAAATTGTTTCCGTTATACATAGGCAGGCATAGTGCTTCCTCCTGGGTCCTTCATGTTTAATTACTCCCCTTCTCAGATCAGCACAGCAACGAGTCAACACAAAACAGGAAGTGGGACAGACTCTTCTTGTATGGACCACTAAATAGGACACAATACTAACCGAACGTAGATTTCAGTGAAGAGATGCCCGCTGTGGCAACGGCAAGAGGATGAAAGCTCACGTTCTCTGGGGCGAGGTTTATCCTCTACTGCTCCAATCATCATAAAGTCATTCATGGGAAAGATAAGAAGCAGAGAAACTTTGTTTGTCCAGGATTATTATTATTTTTTTGTTTCAGATTAGCTTGCTGGGAACTGATTCTCAATCAGAAGTAAAACACTGTCAAGACTCAATTAGTGCTTTTAGGAAGGAAACATCCTTTCCATGCAGAGGCCACCTTACAAGAATAGAGATTGCTACACTTCAGTGACTTGGTTCATTTGAGCAGCAAATCATGTTGTTAGTATAACAATGCTCGAGACCTTCCTTTTGCCCATTTTTGTCAGTATTATTCTTTCATCACTTAAGGAGTTGAAAATTTTAAATGCTGAAACTTCACATAGAAGAATCCCTTTTAACAGTGCTGCTAAGAATTTAACAGGTGATTCTCTGAGCAGCAATTTCACAGACAAGATGTCTCTATGAATGGACATTGATCGGACAGACACTTCTAAGAGGTGGATCTAAATTAAATAGATATCTAATTGTTCAGTTTGAACGCAGTACAACAGTGAAAAGAAACAGACATGCTAAATTACATCTTTGTAGTTTTTTATTTTTTATTATTAATTTTATTTTATTCATATATTTTTTTACAGAAACAATTTTTTTAAATATAAAGCATTCTCTAAGCCAAATGTTTCAAGGCTGAAACTTGAAATAAAAAACTGTGCTGTGTGCACTGAGACAATTGACTGAAACACTCACCGACCACTGTATTAAGTACACTCTTCAAGTACTGGGTTGTGCTGTAATTTTTCTTTTGGATCTGTCTAATTCTCCTTGACATGGGTTCAAAAAATAAGCATGATATGTCATTTGTGCTTTGGAAAATTTGAACAAACTTTATTATTATTATTATTATTATTATTATTATTATTATTATGATGCAGGTTCTCAAAAATACAGAAGTACTCAACCCCCATCAATTCAGAAACAGTTTCCTAAGTGAAATGAGATGCAAAGATGTTCAGACATGAAAAAATAACCTAAAATTTCTCATGCATCTTTAATGTAAATATGCATTAGCCTTACCAGTTCTGTACCTTGGTTTTTCTTTTGCATTGCTCCTCAGAGATCTTGCTATGATAAAAACTCACTGATCGTTTGCATAGTGAATTGCAGGTTGATGGCTCACCGAGTTCAGAAGGTCTAACAGAATTTGTATGGATGTTGGGGTTAAAGTGTTGGAGTAAATTTAGCTTTATGAGTGCTTGCCTCACTCTTCTCCTCCACTTCACTCGGCCATTGGAGCTGGTGCCAGATTACATGAGCAGCCAGCAGCTGATGTGCTTATGCTCTGTTACTGATGCAAAAAAGAGCTCTTTGGCAGGAAGTGAATCATCGGAAGTCAGAATTGAAAACCAAAGAAGAAAGTGCTGCTTTTCATTTAGAACAAGCAAGATACTAGCAATAGGCACAACTGAGAAATGCTTTCAAACTCATACCCCCCCATCACGGAAACAACACAAAGAAGTTAATATGTTGCAGCTTTTAAGTTGAAGGCTACCGATCTGATAGCCGCTGTACTTAAGTTTGGCGTTAACGAATCCATGGTTTGGTGTTAGAGATGCAGGGCTGCGTCCTTAATATATCTATTAAGGACGCTGCATCCTTGTGGAGATACCAGTGGATTATATATGTACGTTTCCAGTTTTTTTAAAAAAAACTTTGTGAGTGCAGCTTATAGTGAGGTGCGCTCTATAGTCCGGAAAATATGGGTGTCTGTATTTGTAATGACTTTACAAATACAGACATTGTGGTTCTAATTTTGCTCTCCTTTAATATATTATGTTCATATTTTAAATACTAGTAGCAGAAAGCAGGTACTGAAATCTTCCAGTATGCAACAGCAACTAAGAAAAACTTATTCCACTACACGTGCGTTCATCTGACTCTGTTGTCTGTACTTTGCGTTGCGTGTAATGGCTAAAAGAAACCAGCACACGAGGACCACAAAACTTTCTGTTTAGGACAAAAATATTTTCAGTGCAGCAGTTCTTGGGCTCTGGCATCCCCAGATAGACGTCTCCCCCGTGCAGCTCTGTGCAAAATGTGTTCAGACCAACCAAAATTCTCAATTGTTTACAAGCAATAAACTAAAATCTTCATTCATTCAAATGGGGTGAAATGTAAAAATTTTTACACACTTGCTACATGTACATATAGTAGCAAACTTGCTCAGGAGACCACTGACATATGAGACGTATTTCTCCCCCACCGCTTTCTGATGCCGCCCTGAGCAGCTGTCCATGTCCAAGTAGTTTGTAGTGTAAACCATATATGTGTGCCAGATTTACAGTCTATAGCTCTTCATTTATCATCTTATCGGTCTGGCAGTGAAATGTCAAAAGATTCTTTTTTTTTATGTAGAAGTTTAGTTTCTGATGTAGGTGGGTAAAAAACAAACTCCTCGTTCTTGAATTACTTTGTTCTTTTCAATGACAAATATTTGGTGAAATAAATTTTCTTGCTGGTGGATTGTTTTCATAACATATTTTCAATGTTTAGAAAATATTTGTTCTTTTAGACATAATTCACTGAAGAAGGGTGATATTATTTTTACAAGTCATTTATGAAGTTTTGTGTGTTACTCTTCAGATATTAAACATTTGAAGGACAACAGAAACCAGGGGGTTATGTTGTGGTCTTGTACACGTACGAGTCGATGTTGAACAGGAAGTCAGTTTAATCAGAAA